CAAAATAATACTATCCTCAACAAGGAATCATTCATGTCTGGAACAAAAGCAAAATTAGATTAAATTATTTATAGTGATATTTTTTGGTCCTTGTATATTTTTAATGACATTCTCTCACTTCAGCCACTGTTGATAATAATTAATTAAATCATAAAAAGTACTTATAAAATAAAAACAACCAAAATAAAACACTTAAAAAATGATTAAATATTTTAAATATATTTTTAGATTAAATAATTAAATATATTTTAAGATTAAATATTTTTAAATATTAAATATCGTCAGTTATATATTATAGGTTAAATATTTTATTAGTTTATCTGCATGTAATGTGACCATTAACAGACATCAGAGAACCGTGAACATGCAGATGTGTTGCTAAATTATTGAAATATTAACTTTTAACATTAACAGGCAAAAGTTCATCATCTTAGAAGACAATTGTTCAGTTTGTAATCATAAAACTCAGAGAGGAATTATGCATTTTAATGAAATATGCATTTCAGGAACTTTCTATGTCTCTTCAGAATAGTGCTTTTGAGTGATTTTCAGCGATTTATGAGTAATTATTAAGTACTAAAATAAAATACAAAACTAAATAGACACTAATAAAAACGGCTAAGCCAAACATCATAATTACTCAACTTTAAAAATAAATAAATAAAAAAAAACGAATGCAAAATATTAATAAATACTAAGAGAGTACAGTAATGATACTAAAATAAACTCAACAGGTTATTTTATTTAAAATATTACTGTATTTATTATTTAAAAATTATTTCATTTTATTTGGTCGTTAACTAAAACTAAAAATGCTAAAAAAAAAACATTTATGTTTATTGGAATAAATTGAACATTAACAGAAATAAAAATAAAGAAAAATTGAACTTGTTTTTATTTCAGTTAGGCAAAATTGTATTTAAAATACTCCAATTAAAATAAAAAATTTAATAAAATAAATAGACAAAAACAATTGATTTAATTTGAAATTATGAAATAAATATATTAGCATTGTACAATGTACTTCAAAGTTATAATAACAACAATAATAATATTCTTTATGATAAAATAATTTATTTAAACATTGTTTTCAAGGAACATCATGTTTGTCCATGTTTTAACTTTGCCAAAAATAAAAGTTGTTGTAAAGTTTCATTTAAAAACATTAATCAAAATGTTAAAGTGTGATATAGTGAAAGTGATTTTTATTATAAGGGAGACTTCAATACTTTCATTAAAATGGTTTCAAGTTTGTTGTAATAAAGGATTTGTTCACTCAAATAACTCGTTCTTGTTCTTTTAAGAGTCATAGTTACTGATAAGAATTATTGTTTAATATATACCGTGATATTTTCTGAGACGATTATCATACCGTGAAAATCTCATACCGTTACAACCCTACTCAACTTTAAAATTGAAATGAAAAAATGAAAAATGCAAACAAATGCAAAGTATTGATAAATACTGAGATACAGCAATGATACCCTCTGAGAGCTGTGCAGCAGCTCCTTTCTCTCCTGTCTGAGGGAGCTCAGCGCTTTCTCCTTTTCTTTCTCCATTTCCTTCAGCTGCTTCTCCAGTCGCTGGACTCGTTCCTGTAAGACATGAGCAGAAGATCCTCCGTCTGGTCTGTGTCTGATCTGAGCAGCTTTCACACGACCTCCCGCTCTCTCTCGCTCGTGAAACCAACACGGATGTGACTAAGACTGCAGTTCACCGACTGGCCTCCTCATGTTAAAATGCCCAACTTTACAGCAGAAAATAACATGTTTACAGCCTGGTACAAAAAGTGGTTTTGGTCTGTATAGCTAATTTTGCCCTTCATGACAACTGTGAGGGGGTGAATTTTTTTTATAACTCATCCGTTTAAATTATATTAAGCCTTAAAGTTCTGCATAATTAAGGGCGTGGCCACTTGAGTGACTGGTGCATTGCCGCTGCTGTCACCGCCGTCGCGTTAGGTGGGCGTGGTTTCAGCAACCAGCTCCCGCCTCTTTGCCCATTTTCGATTATCTGCCAAGATGGCGACGGCTGGCTCCACCCACTTTAGGCTTCAAAAACGCTCTTCGGAAACCTACGGGTGACGTCGCGGACACTACGTTTCGATGCTGGTCATTTTGATTTAAAATAGAAATATTTTGTAACAATATTCACTATTGTTGAAAAGTTTTTTTGTTTTTTTTTAAAGAAATTAATACTTCAGGAAGGATGTGTTTAATTGATACAGTGTGTGCTGTGATCGGTTAGCTGGGCCGGTGTGTGTTGGGATCGGTCAGCTGGGCCGGTGTGTGCTGTGATCGGTCAGCTGGGCCGGTGTGTGTTGTGATCGGTCAGCTGGGCCAGTGTGTGCTGTGATTGGAGCTTCAGTGTAAATATTGCGTCAAAATCAAATAAATTTGAGCGTGATTTAAACCCAGATGATTGTAAGCACTCTAAGTTCGTCTGCCTTGGGAAAGCTAGCGTGTCTCCGACATAGTGATAACACTCGTTGTCTTCTCTAGTGCAGCTCAACCAGGTCTCATCCCATTTGTCGATCTTTGTGATATCGCAAATCCCGGAAAATATGCGTTGTAGTCCAAACGAGTCGTTCGTTGTAGTTTTTGAAAAGTGATTTCTGTTCAATTAAATATCTCCTTTTGAAGTGGACTTTGAGCTTTGTAATTTTAAAAAAACAGCAACATTACAGACTAACTAAAGTTGAAAAAGTGAAAAAGCATAATAGGACCCCTTTAAACTAGACAGTCAGTTCAGGTTTTCAGCTCACCTGAGATGCGTTGCGCGTGTGCTGTACTCTGCTTATCTCTCTTTCGATGACCGTTTGACTTTCTCCATCCTCTCCTTCTCGCTCGTCTTCCACTCCGCTCTCCAGCTCCAGAACGTGGAACTCCATGTCTTCAAACGCTCGCACTGTGGCCTCCAGAGCATCCCTCTCCTGAGAACCAAACAGATGCTTCGCATTACAGTCATGTGACGACAGCGCTGATCTCTCAATAGAGATCTTCATGCTTTTATTTTATTTTATAAACAATGTAACATTAAAAATGTAAAAATAATACATTTATTTGTGAAAAATAACAAATATAAAAATTTAAATAAATTTCTACTGTATGTATACACACAAAAGTTTGGGGTCGGCAGGATTTTGTCATGTTTTTGAGTCTCTTCTGCTCACTCAGGCTGCATACATACAGTAAAAAATTTGAAATATTATTATAATCTAAAATAACCGTGTTCTATTTTAATATCTGTTAAAATGTAATGTATTTCTGTGATGCGCAGCTGTATTTTCAGCATCATTCCTCCAGTCTTCAGTGTCACATGATCTTCAGAAATCAGTATAATATGCTGATGTGCTGCTCAAGAAACATTTCTGATTATTATCCATGTTGAAAACAGTCGTGCTGCTGGAAACCGTGATATATTTTATTTTTCAGGATTCACAGCTGAATTTTTATATCAATTTGATATTGAAATATTTTGTAACATTATAACATGTCTTCACTGGCACTTCTGATCAATTTAATGCATCCTTGATTAACAAAAGTTTTTAAAAGTTCTTACTCTGACGTTTTGAATGATATATATAACATCAACCCTAATAACCAATCTCTGCTTTAAAAAAGAACAATCTGGATAGAAAAGCATGTTGTTTCTCTGCAGTGTAATTGCAAAAGTAATGTCTGATAACTTCAAAACGACACTCCTCTCGTCAGTCATTGGTCAGTAAGTCCCACCCCAAACTCCTGTCATTGGTCAGTCAGTGTTGTAAAATCTTCACAGTGTTTCAGTCCTCACTAATGAAAGTAAAGGGATGCACCTGTTGCAGCTGAAGCAGCAGCGGCTCTCGCTGGTCCTCTGGCTGCGAGGGAATCTGTTTCTGCTTCTCCTCACACCTCCTCCTCATCTCCTCCACCTTCAGCCGCTGCTCCTCCAGCTGGACTCGCTCCTGAAGGACAGCACGTCTTCAGCTCAAACACTGATCACTCGAGGTGTAACGCTACACGCATTCATACCCAACATTTTCAGTACGGGTCTTTCGGACAACTTTCACACGTGTACCGAACAAATACAGCATTGGTTTAACCACTGCATGATGGAAACTTCCAGTTTTATATATTGTTACTTTTGATAAGAAACAAAGTCTCATCTTTCAAATTATGTCAATTTTTTTCAGGAAATTCAAACAATAAATGCTGTTTTGACGCTCTTAGTTGTGGCGCAACAGATTGCGCATAAACACCTCAGTTCAAACAAAACGTCACGTAGCATTTCATTAACCTCTTCAGGAAGTCATCAGTGTCCACAGCTCGTTAGTGTGCTATTAATTAAGTCTAGAGAAGAGCATTTTGCTAAATATTAGACTATATTTTACTTTACCTGTTAGTGATGTCTTAATTGTTGTATGTATATTTAAATAAATCTGTTATGAAACAAGTTATGACAGCCACTGTGTAAATGAATATATTTCACCGACAAGTAGAAATTTGATCATTTAGAAGTTAATTTAAAAACTGCATTATGTGCAATTTACATGTTTGCATACAATTCTGTAATTTGAGTGTTGATTATTATATAAAAATAAGTAGTCATTGAATTTTGTTAATTGTAATCTTATAGTAATGTATAGTTTAGAGTAGAATCCTGAGACTGCTCTCATTAGAGTTACAAATGACCTGCTCTTATCATCTGATTGTGGTTGTATCTCTCTATTAGTGCTACTGGATTTTAGCGCTGCGTTCAACACTATCGACCACAACATTCTTTTGAATAGACTAGAAAACATGGTTGGCATTACTGGAAGTGCATTAGCATGGTTCAAATCGTATTTATCTGACCGCCATCAATTCGTAGCAGTGAATGAAGAGGTATCATATCGATCACAAGTGCAGTATGGAGTACCTCAAGGCTCAGTACTAGGGCCGTTACTCTTCACGCTTTACATGTTACCCTTGGGAGATATCATCAGGAAACACGGTGTTAGCTTTCACTGTTATGCTGATGATACTCAGCTCTATATTTCTTCGCGGCCCGGCGAAACATACCAATTTGAAAAACTAGTGGAATGCATAGTCGATATAAAAAAACTGGATGACGAGTCATTTCTTACTGCTAAATTCTGAAAACACAGAGGTGTTAATTATAGGACCTAAAAACTCTGCATGTAATAACCTAGAACACTCTCTAAGACTTGATGGCTG